GCGGTTGTCCACATTAACCGTGTCCACATTAACCGGACTCCACTGTATTACTTAATATCCTTGTCCTTCACTTGATCTATTTGCAGGTACTAAAGACCGAGCTTTCGTCATAGCTATTTATAAGACACAGCTGCTCAAAACTATTTTTCATTCTGCAGAAAATCCTCCCCTGATTTGGACGAATCATGCCTGAACCAACCCGCGTAGGTAAATGCTGGCTTTTAGTTTCTTTAAAAGATTGAATACTGATCTTTTATAGTACACTGCTTCTTTATACTTCACCGTCCTTATTCTATGATGGCTGACTTTGAGCGACTTGCAGTTTCTCATCCGAGGTTTGTCGATTACTTACTCCCACGCTATCAGAATAAACGTCAGTAAGCCAATTCCTAAGCAAACGACCTACATAATCATTTAAAATAGTGTGAAATTCAAGATTGGTTCTTGCAGGCGGTTTTGATACTTCGTTTAGTGCATGTGAGTATACCATAGTCACAGCAACTCTTACCATTTAACAATTATGATTGATCGTTGTTTTCGCTTACTCCGCCTCTTCTATCGCTTATGAATTCCTGCTCACCTAATTCTTGCCTATCTCCAAAATTTTTACGAAATCTTATTCTTAGTACTGAGTGGTATTTAGTGGTTCACACTGCAACTGCCATCTCTTGTTCCGCCAAAGTCCTGCTGTTTGGCAAACATCTACAGAGCAGCACTTTCTGGGAAATAACGCCTTTCTCCCTCTTATTATATATTTAAAACTTTGATAGGTTCTATCTGACAATACTTTTTTGACGGCCTTGTGTGCTCACAGAAAATCACACATTTTGTTTGTCAATATTCACCAACCAACAATGCTCCCTATTGGCCCTCTTGACAAGTACTAACGATGCATGTGTTTCTTGTTTTCTGTCTGAACTTCAACCCAAGTTTATTTCCTAATATTCATCCAGGCATCGTTGGTGGCGGTTTGTGCGGTTGCTCGACTGCTTACTTCCTGCGCAAGTTGATGGGTTCGAACGTCTCAATTACCCTATTTGAGAGGTCTGGACGTATTGGAGGACGCGTCAGAGCTGAACAGGTGGGCGACAGGCTCTACGAAACTGGTGGTACCATCTTTCTCAGCAGTCAAAAGTATATCAACTCATTCGTCGATGAATTTGGTGAGCACTGAAAACTACTCCTTATTCCCAACAGTTCTTCCGAAAGCGCCTTGTTGTCCAAACGACTGACAGTTTTCATTATTGGTTCGACTAATTGAACAAAGTTAGACAGCATTCTCGGAGCGTCCGATTCCGCAATCTGTTAATATACTTAGAATCCATCCATTTTTTCTTTAGTCCATATTGGCTTTGATGGCATTTTAATTTACTGCTTTGTTTTAGGGTTGTACCAGATATCTGCTACCACGAAGTTAGCTTTGAAATCTGTGAGAAAACTTAATTAGGGTTGGTTGGTTGGTAGCCCTTGTTGGATCAGGGGTCCCTGCCGGAGTCCAAATTGGGTGCAGTTGGGAGATGGAGAAAAGCCGCGACCTCAGCCCGCTTGAGCCAAAGGTCCACGGGGTGAGATGGGTGCCTGGCTGGGAACTGGAGGCGAACAGATGCCGGCAGTCATTCGGCGAGAGTTCCATCAAAGAACTCGCCAAATGGCACTTCACTTCTGATCAGCGTTGGATGCGGTTTTCGAAAGTTGGTTGTTCATCGATCAACAAGGCAAACCGTTTTTGCGCATTTTTTCCAAAAGTCTGTTTGACGCAGTGCGTCGTTTTTCATGATTCCAGAATGGATCGTAGGATGGTAACGCGTGTCTATAAAGTAATTGATCAGTCCGTACTATCAACTTTTACTGATCATTTTACGGATAATGACGACTGTTTTTGTCTTCTGGAAACAAATAACAAAGTCTCAAGGAAGGGGCGTGTCTCGTGGGTCACGCTGGATGAAAATGGGGTGCGACTGGAGAATGGCGCGAGTTATCCATGCTGCGCAGAGTCCGCACATCCCATAAAAATGTCAAACTGGCGGGTAGGGGGGAGGGTGGCATGCTTAAGCTTAGGTTTCACCTGAAGCCATCCTAATAACAGATGGCTGACCGAGTCGGATAGGCATGGGCGAGCTAAGAAGAAATGAGATCAACACTAAGGACTTTATTTTTCACCGTAATAAATCTTACGTGCCTGAATACATCACGACATTCTAACAGTCGTGGCCTGAGAGGTTTCCAATTGGTGGGTTGACTCAGTCCTTCGCTGGACTGACTCAGGCTGCAATGGCTCCTTCCTAATGTGGCCTTGATGGAACTCTCGCGCATGTTAAGTTTGAGCTGGTCTCATGAAGGTCTCATAATCTTATGGGGACCGGGTTGCTTGTGGCAAGTGTAGAAAATCTGCTGGAATTTGTTAGCAACCTTAACCGACCCCAGGTTGACTGCCCCTTTACTTTTCACTTGGAGATTCCGCAGGTTTTGGATTTATGAGCTATAAATTCTAATAGGTGTACCCGCGCATTAATATCCGTCCTTATGCCCTGCAGTTACTTCTCCCTCTTTGTTAGGTGGGTTTGGCAGATCTGCTTAATTCAGTTGACCCAATTGTGAAGAACTCGCGGCCTCGGTGGGAGTCGAACCCACACATCAGGGAGGGCTTTTGCACAGCCAACGCTCTACCATTGAGCTACGAGGCTCACTGTGAGCCGTGAATTTAATCATATTTGCCCAAATTACTGCTCGTATAGAATCCACTATTACGGAACAGCAAGCTGACTGTCCAGATAAGATATCCTGAGCAATCATCTACAATCCTCCAGAATGACTACTAGGCTCACTGCGCAAAAACCTTCCCTGCTGTGTGAGTTCGATTCCCATAGTTTGTGCTTTGGGCCCTACTTTACGCTGCCCATCGGGAAAAAATACGTTTTAGCATGCGTTCTTATCGAAAGCCTTCGAGTTCCTATTTCCCTTTCCGAAGTGTCCTACCTGCGGTGGGGTTGTGGGCTGTCAGCATTCTCTCCTTGACTAAGGTTCAACCTAACCTTTTGTCTTCCTGACGTCTTCACATTTGCCGGCATTATCAACACGCCCCTCTGGGATTAGAGGGTTCTAATTGGTGTTCTTTTATTTCACAGGTCTCGAAAAAGTTAATCATTCCATGGGGCCCCGTGGGCTCGCTTTCTATGACGGACACCAACACCTCTCCTACACAACTCTCCGAAAACCTTCCTTTATATCTAAGCTCAAATTCCTATTTCTCTACAAGAGGGACTTCTTCAAGTTCAAGCAGCACACGCGTAAGACGGCAGAAACTTTCGCTAAGTAAGGAGATTTCATTTTTTTTCGTTACGACCAAGAAGTTTCTTTCGCGTTTTTTTTCCAAACCAGCATAATATTAAGCCCGTTTGCAGGCGTTCTTTTTTACTGTGACCCTAAAAGCCCTTAAAAGCAGTTGATAAGTGAAAGCGGGCAGTGACATTGGTTACTAGAGTTCCATCAAGACTCTTATTAAGAACAGATTAAATTAAGTTAAAATTGCCCTGATAACATCGTCTATTAGACGGGTAAGAAATCCAGAACAATGTTTCGCAAGTGAG